TGATTTGATGACTGGCTAGTGCAATACTCCTCACCATGACTGATTTGATCACTGGCTAATGTAGTACTCCTCACCATGACTGATTTGATGACTGGCTAGTGCAATACTCCTCACCATGACTGATTTGATCACTGGCTAATGTAGTACTCCTCAGTATGACTGATTTGATGACTGGCTAGTGCAATACTCCTCACCATGACTGATTTGATCACTGGCTAATGTAGTACTCCTCACCATGACTGATTTGATGACTGGCTAATGCAGTACTCCTTGGCATGACTTATTTGATCACTGACTAGTGCAGTACCCCTCAGCATGACTGATTTGATGACTGGCTAGTGCAATACTCCTCAGCATGACTGATTTGATCATTGGGTAGTGCAATACTCCTCAGCATGACTGATTTGATGACTGGCTAGTGCAATACTCAGCATGACTGATTTGATAACTGGCGAGTGCAATAATCCTCAGCATGACTGATTTGATGACTGGCTAGTGCAATACTCCTCAGCATGACTTATTTGGTCACAGTACTCCACAGCATGACTTATTTGATCATTGGCTAATGCAGTACTCCACAGCATGACTTATTTGATCATTGGCTAATGCAGTACTCCTCGGCATGACTTATTTGATCACTGACTAGTGCAGTACCCCTCAGCATGACTGATTTGATGACTGGCTAGTGCAGTACTCCTCAGCATGACTTATTTGATCACTGGCTAATGTAGTACTCCTCAGCATGACTGATTTGATGACTGGCTAGTGCAATACTCCTCAGCATGACTGATTTGATCATTGGTTAATGCAGTACCCTTCAGCATGACTGATTTGATGACTGGCTAGTGCAATACTCCTCAGCATGACTTATTTGGTCACAGTACTCCTCAGCATGACTTATTTGATCATTGGCTAATGCAGTACTCCTCAGCATGACTTATTTGATCACTGGCTAATGTAGTACTCCTCAGCATGACTGATTTGATGACTGGCTAGTGCAATACTCCACAGCATGACTTATTTGGTCACAGTACTCCACAGCATGACTTATTTGATCATTGGCTAATGCAGTACTCCTCGGCATGACTTATTTGATCACTGACTAGTGCAGTACCCCTCAGCATGACTGATTTGATGACTGGCTAGTGCAGTACTCCTCAGCATGACTTATTTGATCACTGACTAATGTAGTACTCCTCAGCATGACTGATTTGATGACTGGCTAGTGCAATACTCCTCAGCATGACTGATTTGATCATTGGCTAATGCAGTACCCCTCAGCATGACTGATTTGATGACTGGCTAGTGCAATACTCCTCAGCATGACTTATTTGGTCACAGTACTCCTCAGCATGACTTATTTGGTCATTGGCTAATGCAGTACTCCTCGGCATGACTTTTTTGATCACTGGCTAATGCAGTACTCTTCAGCATGACTGATTTGATCATTGGCTAATGCAGCACCCCTCAGCATGACTTATTTGATCACTGACTAATGCAGTACTCCTCAGCATGACTTATTTGGTCACAGTACTCCTCAGCATGACTTATTTGATCATTGGCTAATGCAGTACTCCTCGGCATGACTTTTTTGATCACTGGCTAATGCAGTACTCTTCAGCATGACTGATTTGATCATTGGCTAATACAGCACCCCTCAGCATGACTTATTTGATCACTGGCTAGTGCAATACTCCTCAGCATGACTTATTTGGTCACAGTACTCCTCAGCATGACTTATTTGATCATTGGCTAATGCAGTATTCCTCGGCATGACTTTTTTGATCACTGGCTAATGCAGTACTCTTCAGCATGACTGATTTGATCATTGGATAATGCAGCACCCCTCAGCATGACTTATTTGATCACTGACTAATGCAGTACTCGTCAGCATGACTTATTTGATCACTGACTAATGCAGTACTCCTCAGCATGACTTATTTGGTCACAGTACTCCTCAGCATGACTTATTTGATCATTGGCTAATGCAGTACTCCTCGGCATGACTTTTTTGATCACTGGCTAATGCAGTACTCTTCAGCATGACTGATTTGATCATTGGCTAATGCAGTACTCCTCAGCATGACTTATTTGATCATTGGCTAATGCAGCACCCCTCAGCATGACTGATTTGATGACTGGCTAGTGCAATACCCCTCAGCATGACTTATTTGATCACTGGCTAATGCAGTACTCTTCAGCATGACTGATTTGATGACTGGCTAGTGCAATACTCCTCAGCATGACTTATTTGATCACTGACTAATGAAGTACTCTTCAGCATGACTTATTTGGTCACAGTACTCCTCAGCATGACTGATTTGATCATTGGCTAATGCAGCACCCCTCAGCATGACTTATTTGATCACTGACTAATGCAGTACTCCTCAGCATGACTTATTTGGTCACAGTACTCCTCAGCATGACTTATTTGATCACTAGCTATCATAGTAATCCTCAGCATGGCCAATTGGCTCACAGAATAATTGTATATACAAGTGTTGGATTCTCTGGTGATGGGAGTTTTTTAACATGCATCCATTGCATTCATCTTGACAATGTATGATGAACAGGCTTCTTTTGGCATGCCGTGTATCAGTTATTACCCAGAAATCATGTCAAAGCGACTTCACAAATTATTTTTGTTCTGATTTTAACTGATGTTTTGATGTATAACCATGCCTACATGTGTTAAATGTAGAGAAATAAAATGTTTTAACTGTACTTGTATTTGAATGCTTGGTTTATTGGTTCATGTCACTGGCATAATTGCAATGCAAGTCATTTAAACTGCAAAACATTCATCCCATTATCGATTAATGACAAATGCACAAAGTGGATGGCCCCCTAACAACTAGAAAATCTATGTATTGATCAGTTGAAAATGCATACACGTCCTTGTATGCAATACAGTAGGTTGTGTTTAGACAAAACTTGGGTCCGAAACCTTTACCCCAAATATAGTTTTGTTGAATTTAAAATAACTACAGAATGATAAAATGAATGACCAACAGCTTAATTGATGCGGCAGTAGTTTCACTTCTGCCATTGAGAAGCCTAACATGAGGCGTTTTTATTTTTTTCTTCTCTGGGAGTACATTTATACTATGGAATGCCCAATGTACTCAGTCAAAATATTTATTCCTAATTAGGAGTTTTTTTCATGGTTGTGTACCAGACTAAGTCGAGTGGCTTCCCAATAAAACCTGAATTTATAAGTATCACAAACCACAAAATGTTGGTTGAATGATAACTATGAAGTCAATTGCTTGTTCGGTAAAAAAAGTTCGGAAACATTGAAAAATATGATTGAGTAATACTATTTTATTTGTGTTGTATAGAAAGTAAAAATTATAAGGAAGCCCCAGTATGTGCCATTTAGTAAAATACTAACCCCCACAGTATGAACACTAACAGAGCAAAACACTGTTAAAGTGAAATCTAGTCATTGATGTAAACGTGATACCAACAAAGCAATAGCACTAAGATGTTTGACTATATTAAAAATAAACTTAAAAACAAAGTAATTTTGTAACAGACTAGTACCTAAACATGAATATCTGCAGTTTTTACTGCAGTTCAATATCTGAACATTTTCAAAAGATGCTCCATGTGGGAAGTTTGCCTCTTATCACATTTCCTGGCATACTTTATTCACCATAGAGGGCACTCTTGCAATTATGATGGCATCAAGGCTACAGAAATATTTTTAATATACAATAATGCTGAGAAAATAGTTTCCATAAATTCGGCAGTATATTATGTTATTATACAGTCTACACATGAATACTGTCATGGCTCATTTTTGTTTGAATATACATACAAGTACAAGTTCTACTCCAAACTTCACTGACAGTCCCAATACTTTGTCTTAAGTAACAAGCCCTTTTTCGGAATTCCAAACTTTAATAACAGACACAAAACTCCTCCATATTTTGATAGCTGTCACTATCGCCACAACGCACATATCACTGAGATGGAACATTCTAAATCAAATTAACTCAAAATAGTCTAAACTGAAAAAACAAACAGATTAAGTATAGATTATGAAGCAATGTAGTGAATTTCTTCACTTTAATTCATTATAAAATGTCAATAATACATGTGTAAGCTACTACTACTACTACTATAATAGACAGCCTTTGTGCTTCCCTTAAAAACAACAATATTACAGGGAGCAAACTGTCTTTACATGCTGCAATTACAGCAACCAAACAGACATTATCTTTACATTGAACTATGAAAAACACTTGTACTTATAAGAACTTGTGTGAAAATGAACAAAGATTGGGGGGGAGGCATAAAAACAGTAACATTTTAACAAATAGTGAGGTTGGTTGACCTTAATGTGTAGATTATGACATGATTTTCAGGTTCATAAAAATTTAAAGAGAGAGCATTGAAAAGTACTGGCAACAAGAAACCCCAACCAAAGGTTATAGTAGTAAATCCACTCAATTACTAGAAACAGTACACCAGGTATATTCCCTCATTAATATGTCTATCCAGGGATTACACTAGCATGTCTAGTCATCCATACTGTACGTTTCCCATTGTTCATGTACATCCTTAACTATTAAACATCGACATAACATCTTCTGCATCAACCCCTCTTTAGCAGAGTTACATGAATACCACACTGGACTGTCAGGTACACATGATCTCTCTGGTATCAGATAGAAAACATCATTTCTATTTTTCACACTCTCAGGACTGTAAAAAAGAAAAGAAATTTATTAATTTGGTGATAACACAGAAAATTCCACACTATCCATATATGAATCAGGAATAAGCAACATGTTAACTGGTATCTCTGCTGTTTGAGATGAAAAATGAGAAAGGAATATCAAATCAATCAGAATATTCACTATAATGAGTAAACTGACACTAATTGTCAATACTAAATGAATTAGTCTCATATAGGAATGAATCAATTTGACAGTGGCCCATTCAAAATATCTGGCTAGTGGTTTTCAAAAACACAAAAAATATTATTTTTTTACTGAAAATGATAAATATTCACTAGAATAGGAGAATGAAAGTATCTTCACAAAATCAACAAAACATCAAGAGGTCCATCACCCAAGGTGACTCCTAAACATATTGTGACAAAATTATATTAACTAAAAGTATTGAAGGTATCACCACAAAATGAACAAATCTTAAAGCGAACCGTTCAAGGTACAATTGTAGTGAATATGAAAACCCATAAACCCAGAAGAAGAACTCAAAAATGTAAGTGGATGGTCTATAATTTGCATTTGAACAATCTGCTCCATGCATGTCCAAATACTATTTTCACCCCCAGTCCGTAGAATACATATTCCAATATGGTTTTGCCTTTCAACAAAATTGTTTCATGCCTATTTAACCAGTACTAATTGGATTGAGGATACCATACTTGACCGGCTTAGTGCCCATGCTTAGCTAAGCACCCAACCCCCACCAAATTGACCCAAATTTGACTGTCTACTCATACTGGTCTTTGATCATTGTTTGACTTTTCTGAATACTGGTAATCATATCATATATAATACAGAGTCTATATCGATCGCCTGACACAATGACAA